CGTGTGTGTAGTAGAGAGAGAGAGAGAGAGAGAGAGAGAGAGAGAGAGAGAGAGAGAGAGAGAGAGTAGTGTAGTGTGTGTGTGTGTGTAGTGTGTGTAGTTGTGTGTGTGTGTGTGTGTGTGTGTGTGTGTGTGTGTGTGTGTGTGTGTGTGTGTGTGTGTGTGTGTGCTACCATGCTGTTGGACTGTATGTCGGGTCTCTCCAGTGCAATAGTGATGCAATTAAGGAAGATGAAGAGGAGGATGACATGATCAAACAGCTTGTGTCCGATGACCCTCTGACACCACAGCCTCAACCTGAAGTGAGAAACAGAAAAGGAATTAAATGAGTTACTCCGGTTTTAACGAACATCTCTACTTCACTGCATAAGTCTACGTAATGTGCTGGTTCTCACTGGAGAAGCTTTAATTGATAAAAGGGAAAATTGTACTTCTTCATCTTGGTTGTTACCTTCCACCTTCACCTGTGAGTTTTAACATACGCTGTGGATTAAGCCACTTAGGCCACTGGTGAGAAAAATAACAAAGGCTGTGTGTGTGTGTGCCTGTGTGTGCCTGTGTGCGTGTGTGACTGTGTGTGTGTGTGTGTGTGTGTGTGTGTGTGTGTGTGTGTGTGTGTGTGTGTGTGTGTGTGTGTGTGTGTGTGTGTGTGTGTGTGTGTGTGTGTGTCTTTGTGTGTCTTTGTGTGTCTTTGTGTGTGGTGGGTGTATTTACTGGTTGTGAGGAGCGAACACATAGAGAGACCACTCTTCATGGTCCAGGCACCACTGAGGCTCGTATGGCTCCAGAATCTTCTTCAACTTCTTACAGACACTCTAAAAGAAAAACACACACACACACACACACACACACACACACACACACACACACACACACACACACACACACACACACACACACACACACACACACACATCAAATAATTGGTGATAAAAAACATCGCATTGCATATGTGACTCGTGTTGTATCAATGCATAAAAAGCCCAACACAGCACAAGTTTTTCAAACAATGTGCCCAGTATATCCTCCTCCCTGCTCATAAATTAAATTCAGCTAATTAAATATTTTCAAAGAGTCGAAGGGTACTAAGGTTGGAATTATGCCTTCGCAAGATAATTTGCAGCAAATGTTGAACTTGTGAACATGCTGAAACAACTTCTTATATTCAATTGTTTTAACTGGAAATAACAGAAGCGGCACACAATGAAAACAACCTTGTGCTCATGACTCATTTAAACAGCCTTACATCAATATTGTTTTTATCTGGAACAAATGAGTAATAATCAAAAATGCAGCAGGCCGTACCTCTTCAATCTCGTCCTCGTCCTGGGTGTCGCTGCAGTTTGTGCTCACGTTAGCGTCGTCGGGGTCCGGGAGGTGGAAGGTGGTGCCGTTGCAGTCGGGGGAGTGGAGCACGGGCACCTGCAGGTAGTCCGCCTGGTCCAGAGACTGGTCCCTGCTGCTGTAGTTGGAGCTGGTGTGTGTGTCGGAGAGCAGCGACTCCATCTCCCCTGACTGGCTCCTCCGGTGCAGGCTGGAGGCTCGGCTGATGCTCGTCCAGCTGGAGCGCCGGCTCTCCCACGGATCCTGTGTAGCCAACTTCAAACGGGAAGAAATATTTCTGACTGACTTCCTTAAAGGTCCCCTATTATACTGTTTTTCATCAATATATAATAGGTCTCAGATATATACAAAACATATCTCTGAAGTGTTCGAAATATCAAACAGATCATGCATTGTAGCATCCCATAATCCCCTCTGTTTCAGCCCTGTTTCAAAAGTGCTGATTCTGGGTCTGTTACTTTAGATGGAAAATAAGGAGCCTCTCTGTGAGATATTTGGTTAAAATAAAACACAATGGTGCTCTAGGAGTAGATTCAGGTAATAAGGTGTGGGGGGGGGGGTTACTTGGTTGGTTATTGGCTAATGGTTACACAAGCCAAAAAACGTTATGACATCATAAAGTGGCCAAAATCGGATCAGCTCATGTTCAGACAGGTTCTTATATAAATGGATCAGGACAAAAAGAGAGAGAATCTTTTGTGGGGACACATACAGTGGGGCAAAAAAGTATTTAGTCAGCCACCAATTGTGCAAGTTCTCCCACTTAAAAAGATGAGAGAGGCCTGTAATTTTCATCCTAGGTATACCTCAACTATGAGAGACAAAATGAGAAAAAAAAAATCCAGAAAATCACATTGTCTGATTTTTAAAGAATTCATTTGCAAATTATGGTGGAAAATAAGTATTTGGTCACCTACAAACAAATAAGATTTCTGGCTCTCACAGACCTGTAACTTCTTCTTTAAGAGCCTCCTCTGTCCTCCACTTGTTAACTGTATTAATGGAAACTGTTTGAACTCGTTATCAGTATAAAAGACACCTGTCCACAACCTCAAACAGTCACACTCCAAACTCCACAATGGCCAAGACCAAAGAGCTGTCAAAGGACACCAGAAACAAAATGGTAGACCTGCACCAGGCTGGGAAGACTGCATCTGCAATAGGTAAGCAGCTTGGTGTGAAGAAATCAATTGTGGGAGCAATTATTAGAAAATGGAAGACATACAAGACCACTGATAATCTCCCTCGATCTGGGGCTCCACGCAAGATCTCACCCCGTGGGGTCAAAATGATCAAAAGAACGGTGAGCAAAGATCCCAGAACCACACGGGGGGACCTAGTCAATGACCTGCAGAGAGCTGGGACCAAAGTAACAAAGGCTACCATCAGTAACACACTACGCCGCCAGGGACTCAAATCCTGTTGTGCCAGACGTGTCCCCCTGCTTAAGCCAGTA